TCCAGACAAATAACTTTATTAGATAAAGTGTCTCTATGTGTATTGAAGGCACTCATGGGTAGATCAGGAGTTGAAAAGGAACAAAGCTCCATGAGGTGGCAGGCAATCAATATTTTAATTTTGAAGGTGAAATTTCCTAAAGAGGAAATATATTTAGTGAATTATCTTGAAATACAAATATCAAATAAATCAATAGTAAAATTGATATTTTTGAGCTTTTTTTTAACTTGAGTATATACATGCTCAATATATATAACCAAGTATAAGTGATATTTTTATTGACTAATCAACCTTATAATATTTTCTTTCAGGACATTTTTGGCTACATTTTCTTTGATCACTTCATATGACAAAAAATTGAAATATTATTTTTACATTTTTTTTTTACTTAGCAGAGTTGCCTTTTTTAAATGAACACCTTAGAAGAGTTTGTTTCACTTTCACAATGCCACATGCATTTTAGTAATTTTCACAAAATTTGGGAAAACACCAATTTTTTTTAATATGTGATATAAAAGCAAAAATTACAGCTGACAAAGTTGAACAGGCAAAGTGAACTTTATTCAAGGCTATTGCAATAGGGGAGAGAGGTCAGAGCTCAGTTAGAGCTCACCTCCACTGAAATGAAAGGCAGGACTAAAATAAGGAGAAAGTAGTGAAGGGTGATAGTGGAGAGGTTGATCAATGGGATGTAACCAATGCACTGAGTAATTTTGAGTTTGCCATTTTTTCTTCTGTGATTCGGCCATCTTCGTTTGCTAATTACAGCCATGGAAGTTAGGCTCCTATCTTCCCAAGGAGGGTCAGAGGTAGGAGTGCTCTCTCCTTGATGATTACATTTCAAAGGGAAGGCTCCCAAGTCTTTCAGGAAGACATTCTTGGATTATGAAACCGGCAAGAGGCTTTACAAAATATTTCCATGTGAAGGGACAGAAAAAGAATTTACAATTAAAAGTTTTCTGAATAAAATGCTTTAAGAAAATGGAGGTTGAGACCTAGAGTCAGGAAGAAGCCTATCTAACCAGGCTGAGGGGAGGTTAAGGATGTCTTGATCAGTGAACAATAACATTTCAATGCTTTTCAAGTTTTCCTGTGAAGGGACTCTTTAAATATACTTTGAATTGGTGAAATTTATTAATTATTTTGTCATTGAAAGCATCATTTTAGTGGTATTCCATAATTGTATGATATTTCTCTTGGTATCAGAATTAATCTCAAATCAATAAGAGCTGTGAATGTATGTCCAGTATGTTCATATGTCTAAGACTAATTGAATTATTTTAAAATTATCAAAATTGCCTATGCATTACTTCTGTTTGAAAAGTCTTTCTTAATGAATTGCTGTTTTTGGTATGATCTGGAAAAAAAGTATTATAATTTGCTTGTTGTGTTCTGAATTATTTTTATCTTATTCCCGAAAATTTTACAAAAAGCTAAGATAGCATGAATACATGGCTAGCTCCTCCCAGGGATGCTGAAGCAGGTGAGGGCTGAGGAGCTTAAGCATCATTAGCTTCTGGTTAAATTCATCCCTGCTGTTGAAGCCAGACTTTGAGAAAGAAAGAAAGAAAATAATGAGAGAAGCTGAGAGTGAAGCAGAGGTTATCATACTCCTTCCTTACAAGAGCTTTTGCTTCCACAGTTCCCCAAATCCTGGTGGGAACTTCCTGAACGTGCACAGTCAGGGGAGCAACTGCCTCTTCCCCCTGCCCGTGGGCCAAATGCAGTCCACCAACTCACCAACTGGTTTTGTAAGGCCCATAAGCTAAGAATATTTTTTTTAATATTTTCTAATGTTGAAAAAAAATTTTAAAGACTGTTATTTTGTGACACATTAAAGCTACCTAAAATTCAAATTTTCACATTCATAAATCAAGTTTCATTGGAAAACAATCATGCCTACTAGTTTACATATTGTCTCTGGCAGCTGCTGTGCTACAGTGTCAGACTGAATACTTGAGACAGGGTTGGCAAAGTGAAAAATATTTCCTAACTAGCCCTTTGTAGACAGTTTGCCAATCCCTGGTCTAGTTATTCTGGTCAACTAATTAAACCAAGTTGGGGTTTTTTTTTTGCTTGGATTTATCTTTTATTTATTTTAAAAAATTTATTTAAATTTCTAATTGGATACATAATAGTAGTACATATTTATGGGGTACAAGATAAATTTTGATACATGCATACGATATGTAATGATAAAATCAGAATAACTGGAATATCTATCATCTCAAGCTTTTATCATTTCTTCATGTTGGGAGTTTTCCACTTCCACTCTTTTAGTTATTTTGAAACACACAACCAATTATTGTTAACTATAGTTGCCCTTTGTGTTACCAAACACTGGATCTTATTCTTTCTAACTGTATTTGTGAACCTATTATAATATTTATTATTATTTTTATTATTGATTTGCCCCTACTAGAGATATGTGGACCTTATTTAATTAAAAAAACTGAATAATGTGGCAGTTTTAGATATTGTGCCATGTCCCTCGGGGAAACATTTTTTAATCACCCAGTCTTTCGTTATTCCTCAAATCACACCCTACAGGCAGTAGGCCTCCTCTGCTCTGCAAAGGCAATCTCACTCTAGTTAAATAGAAATTGTTGTAAATAAAATGAAATTTCAGGCTGTCCTGCTGTTTAAAGAATCTCTGTAAAAATTCAATCAGCAGCGTACTTTTAATTTCACATCATCTGATGTTGTTCTGGATTCAGTGACAAGAAGCCCAGCAGTTTTCTTCACAGTTTTCTATTTTCCTTGAATATAAATTTTCCAGCTGGGCACCGAAGACTAGGTAGGGAAACCAAATGTGTGGATTGTATCAGTCAGAATTCTGTTCAACTGCATGAAACAGAAACTCACTAAATACATTTAACTTAATAAGATTTCCCCCTTTGCTCCCCCCTCATGGAAACTAAGTTCAGAGGTAAGGAATTTAGAGCTGGTATAACTGCTCAGTATTGTAATATTTTAAAAGAGTGGGCAGTAGGGGTAGGATGGATGTAGGCAATCCTTTTTTTCTCCATTCATTCTTTCCATTTTCATCTAATGGGCATGAAATAAGTGCTCTATCTTCTTGAGCCTATTAGAGTTTTAGGTGGAAAAAGGGAAGAAGCACAAAGGGCAAAAGTTAAAAAGTCTGAAAGGTATACCTAACAAAGAATTATACAGCAAACACTAATGTAACAAACACTATCTGCCAAGCACTCTTTTTCAATATTTCAAAACAGTAAGTCGTTGGTGGTATGGTAGCTGGGTCTATTTTATTTCATAAGCTGTCTACATCTCATTGGCCAAACCATGTCATGTGGTCATCCTCGGAGGAAAAGAGCTCTGAGAAGGTGAGCACTTCATATGGGCACATTTGACATACGACATTCTTTTAGTAAGAAGCAGTGGAAGAATGGATATTGGGCAGACAATCAGCACCATTTGCCCCAGTGAGTATAAGAGGGCCAATGATTTGGGCCATAGTGTGGTTGATCAGTCACTTCAACCATCTTGATGATTTGTGCCAATCACAGAGATAACATGAGGCATCCAGAGATGTGATACGAATCGCACTCACTTTGATAACCAGCTGAATGATTAACTTTACTGTGGCCTAAACTAATTATTTTAGTGGTTCTCTTTTTCTATCTGGATTGAGGGCCACCAACCCAAATGCATGGAAGTTGGAGAGTTAAGAAAGGGCTGCATAATTCGCCTCATCCCCTGGGAAGGTATAATGGAGAGTGGCAGAGAAAGATCTAAGACGTTCAACTCATCTGTATTTTCTGTAGCTTTGTTGGCATAAAGGGTCTTAACCTGCCTAACAAGATTACATGCTTCTGGAAGGCAGGACTCATTTCTCAGGCTCCTCTATTGCCTCCACAGAGGTTAACACAGAGATAATACTCAAACTTTCTTCACTGATGTATAAATCTGATGATGGCAGTTCATTCAGAAAACTGGAGTTTCAGCTTAGGAACAATTTACCACCTCCTGTTAATATTCAGCTCACTCCATCAAGATCAGTGACTTATATACCCCATAAATCCACCTCCTATGTGAAACTACTGGGAAAAGTTTTCATTTTTGTCAATATCCTCCAAAGTGCAATTTGGTGTTTACAGAATATTAATGTTGGCAGGGATGTTTTATGTCATTTAATCTTACCTCTCCCATTTTTTTTTTTTTATTTTTGATGAGAAAACTGCAATTCCGAATAGTGGAGTGTCTACCTCTAAGGTTTGCACGTGTGACTTTTGTGTTTTGATTTTGTTTTTATTTAATCCATCCAACTTTAACCATACACTTAATAAGAGAAAAACTCTTTATTCTCACCGTCTTCAAATACTTCTGTGAAGAGGACAGTTCAACACTGATACTGCATCAAGTGGAAGCAACAGCAGTTTTTTGACTGCATTTTTATACTAATTTTAGCACTAAATCATACACAGCCTTTAAAAGCAATTGATCCTTTCAGATTATAAAGTCTACATTTGCTTCCAAAAAGAAAATTTTTTTGAAATTGGTTTTGACAAAAACAACACCTGCTCCCACTTCCGTAGGAGGGAGAAGTGTAAAAAACTGTAATATATTGTCTGGAGAAGGGGCATGAAGTACAGGAATAAAAACAAGAATGGGTTGCATTTTCTCTTGCTGATACATTGTATTGTTGTGAATTATTCCACATAGAGAAATGTACTGGCAATTTATTTGTCTGATCTCTTTCTACCAAATGCAAGTCTCCAGATACTTTTTTGGAACAATTACACATTTCTCATTTATCATAGAGAGGAAGTATGACTTATTGAAAAGAACATGAATTTGGAATCAAAGAGACCTGAGTTTGAATCACTGCTATGCCACATAGTAACTTTATGATCTTGGACAAGTCATTAATATATCTGATCCTTCCTTTCTATAAAATAGAGACAAAACTCAGAATTATTATGAGGCCTCTAGAGTGGTAATTTATTTCCATTCTCCTATTTTGTGTTTGCTTTGTACAGAGGGAAAAATTCATAAAACTACTGGACCAGTTGCATAACTCTCTGAGGATTGATCTGTCAAAGTATAGGGTATGTAGAAATTTACTTGCATAAAAGAAAACTGCTGTGTTTGGTTTAGATAATTTCTTGCTATATAAAAATCACCCATCATGGAATAGAAAAATAAAAATATTTATCTCAGGTGCTGTCACCCTTAGAAATAATCCATCAGGTCTCCTTTGTTGTTCAGATTCTTTACCCTATGTAGACTACAACAATACTCTCTCTCTGTGTGTGTGTGTGTGTGTGTGTATGCACATGCAGCTTTAATTTTGTAATTTCTAAAATAGCCATCAGATTCAATGACCCTCAGCTAATTCATGAAGTAGACTATGGCCCAGTCCTCATTCTGAAAGCTCATCGTTTGTTAGTGAAATATTCCGCTGATGCTTCCTCAATTTCTGAGCTTCCTACTTAATTTACTGCTTCATTCTCTTTCCTCCTGGATTAGGGTACCAAGAGTACCATGTGCTCTTGCAAAGTTGTACAGAACTTTGCAAAGTTGTACAGAATTGTCAACAATTCTACATATCACCTCCTGGGGAAACACATACACATACCACAAATATATTCATGTATATATGTGATAAATATACACACATATAATTTTAGTCACAAAATATTTTAGTTACAAAAATTTAGTTACAAATTTTAGTTACAAAATGTCTATGATGATAACTAATACATGCTCTTATATCTTACATTCTTTAACAATTTATCCTATACATCTTTTCTTATTTGAACTTATCTATCTCCCATGCATTCATTTTTTATTAGTCTCTTATTGACAGATACTTTAATTGCATACTTATGGAAGTTATAATACCAAATTTAATTTGGTATTATTTCATATTGGTTATTTCATGTTGGGTCTGGGGCCAACATAGTGAGAAGAGGACAACCATTAAGCTATTGGGAGAGATATTTGGGGGCAACAAGGGCCTGAAGTCACCTCATCATAGGCACAGTAACCCTGTTCAAGTTCATGAATATCTCGTAATTAGCTCTGGGTTTCCTAATGGCTCTTTAGAAAAGCATGTTAATATGTGAAATTGACCAAAGTAAAAATTCTTTCTTAGTTCAAACATTTCATAATGATAACTTTTCATTCCTTCAAATTATGAACATCTGTATTTTCAAATGATACTTCTCATCAAACCTTGCTAAAAGAAACCTTTTGTTAAAATCCATAGTGTTTCAGGAAATACTATGTGATGCAAACTTATTTTTTTAACTTTTAAAGTTTTTTGTGACTAAAAGTAAATGCAGCACATGTATAATTTCTAAAGTATTTTTTATAAAAATACTTATCTTGAGAAAATCATGAAAAATTTTTCCTATGTATGCTACACTTCTTCCTTTTAGTAGCAAGACTATTTTAGAAGCAAGCATTAATAACATCATAACATTTTAATAATGATATTGTTTTGCATTTATTGCATTGTAACTATAAATAGAAGAGTGCAGCTTTCCAAAAGTATAAAAATATAATATTTCCAAATTGTTTATATTCTATAATGTTTTATGATAAAAATGTTTTAAGAATACTTTAGGGGTATTTTTAAAATTGTATACAGTTTACTTTCCATTTTCTTTTATGAGAAGCTAATTTTAGTTTATTTTCCCACTGGAGATTTACTACTGACGACCTTATCCATTTTCTGTTTCCTGATTAACCAGGAAAACTTTCCTGCAAGCAATACTGAAAGACTGCAAGACCTGAAATCAACTGTTGACCTGTTAACAAGTATCACCTTTTTTAGGATGAAGGTATCTCATTTTATTTCTGTCACTGTTTTGGTGTGACATAGAATACATTCATCCCCTGGTAAAGTCTTGCTTTACCCTCCTCTTGATCAAGTACTGTGTCAACCCCATCGATTAAGCTGTACTATCTTTGCCTGAACTCAATGAATCTTCCAATATAAGGTATAGTGAAGAAGAGATTATCCTAGACATTTAAAATACTCTGATACATTTGGCTCTAATTTAGTTCTCAGTTAAATCTGTCTTAGATAAAGCTCTCTAGTAAGTGGATGTGGCACTTAAAAAATTTCCAAAGAATGTTAAATGGAAATGGAGTTCACTTCTAATTTTAGTTTTAACTTAGATGTTTTGCTGACTTTTTTGCTACAAGAAAGTGGCTGACTCTTTTAAGTTTACCACAATTGTGGCAACTTCCATTTTCAGCACTAGGAATGTCTGTGTAGGCATATGTTTGATCACCTATCTATTGGTATCATTGGCTAGGCCCTACAAACCAGGCATTTCTTAGATATATCATTTCTGCTTTAATTGCAAGTTCTCTGCAGTCATAGTTCTGGCCTGCAGTGCAACTTATGTAAAGCATTTTCAGAAACTACTTGCCAGGCTATGGGCTAAAATATATGCTCTTTGAAAGAGAGTATTACGATGCTTATTCAGAAAATTCCTAAATAGAGACAATTTTTTTTTTTTTGCATTTGCCCATATTTTTTTTCACTAGAACCTCTAAAAGTGGCATTTTGTAATGAAAGAGAGACACGAAGGGAAACCATACTATATCAGTGCTCATTTAGATTCTTTAAAGTTGAATTAAAATTCATTTGGTTTAAAATCAGGCTAACTAGGTGACTAGGATAAATAGAATTTACATCAATTCTAATCTACTGTCAGTAGCTACTGGAACAATGTGCAGATAATGATGGCGAGACCCAATCAAGTTGACTTAGATTGACAGGTGACATCTGCCATTGACACTGAGGAGTGAGGAATGGGAGTGAGGGTGGGGCTTGCCAGCACAGTGCTACCCATCTGCCATGCCTCCTTGATTAAAAACACTATCTCCTTAAACTTGTAACTACTCTTCCCCAACCCTCACTACCAGCTGATGACTTCACTTCCTATTTCAATGAAAAAAAAAAAAATACAAGGAAAGAAAGAGGAGCATCCTCAAGCTCCAATCACACACTCCCACCACCTACCCCAGTAGGTACTTCCTTGCATGTGTCCACATATTCTTTCTTTTTTACTATTGATAAGCCATCTGTTTTCTTAGAAAATGTGGTCTCTTCTACTTGTGCAATTGATTTTGTCTTCTCTTGTTCACTAAAATTCTGGTCCAGCAATCCTCTCCATTTTCCTGAATTGTCAGCTTTCCCCTATGTACGTGCTATTGATTTTGCAGTCTTCAAAATACCACTTGGCTTCACTTTCTTTTATAGCTACTACCCCAGTTCATTTCCCTTAATAGCAAAACTCCTTGAAATAGTCATCCATACATTTCCTTCCAGTTAATTTCCTCATATTATCCTTTGAACAAATTTTCTTCTCCTGTTATCCTTTTTTCTCATTGCAGAGAGTAAAAATCACTCTTCTGTTGCACAGTCCTATTAGTTTTGATAAACGTGTAGTTATATAACCACCAGAGCAATAAGATATAGAACAGTTCCATGAGCCTACACAATTCCCTTGTGCTACACCATTGTTGTCAACCCTTCTCCCACATGCTGGTAACCACTGATTTGTTCTTTGCCTATAGCTTTGCCTTTCCTAGAACATCATGTAAATGAAATTGTACACAATGTACCATAACACAACAGAGATTCATTGGTGTTGAGTGTATCAACAATCCACTACTGTTAATTGCTAAGTAGTAATTCTTTGTTATATATGTACTACCAATTTATCCATTCCCTCACTGACAGATATCTGAGTTATTTCCAATTTTGGTTTATTACAAATAAAACTATTTTAAATAAGCGTGGGATTATAGTTGTAAACATACATTTTTATGTTCCTTGGGTTAAATCCTCAGCAGTAGCGTGTGAGAGTCCCAATTCTTCTACATCCTCTAGCAAAACTCTTGGGATTTTCCATGTTATGTATGTATGTATGTATGTATGTATGTATGTATTCTAGTAGAAGTGATGTTGCATTATCTAAATGTATTAATTTTATTTGTCTACAAATTAATAATATTGAGAATTTTGGGGGATTGACTTGCTATCTGAATATCTTCTTTTGTGAAGAATGTTGAAATTTTTACCCATATTTGTTAGCTGGCTTTCTTACTATTAAGGGCAATTTAATTTTAATTATTTTAAATTGATAGATCAAATTGCATGTATTTATTGTGTACAACATATTGTTTTAAAATATATATACATTGCAGGATGGCTAAATCTAGCTAATTAACATATGCATTACCTCACAAAGTTATCATTTTTGTGAGGAGAATATTTAAAATCTACTTTCTTGCATTTTTCAAGAATACAATAGTCTTGAGTTTTGAGAGTTTTTATATGTTTTGGATACATTTTTTTTTGGCAGATATGTGATTTGCTATTATTTTTGCCTTGTTTGTGCCTTGTCTTTTAATTGTCTTAAAAATATATTATATAGCAAGTTTTAAATTTTGGTCTACTTTATCATTTTTTTTTTCTAATTATGGATAATGCTCTTGGTTAAACCAACATCACAAAGAGGTTTTTTGGTGTGTTTCTTCTGAAAGATTGGTTTTACCTTTTATATTTGGGCGTATGTTTTATTTAGAATTTTGGGGATTTTTTTGGTGGTTGTTTTTGTTTGGTATAAGGTATAAAGTGTGAATCAAGGATAACATTTTACATATTTATGTTTAAGAGTTCCAGCAGCATTTATTAGAAAGATTTTCCTTTCTCCATTAAATTGTTTTTGGTATTATTATAAAAAATTAAATTGACCATATATGTATGGGTCTATTTCTGAACTCTCTATACTGTTCAGTTGTTTGTACATTCACCACTACCATCCTATCTTGATTACTGTGACCTCATAGCAAATCATAAAAAAAAAATAATGCGCATCCCACCTCGTTTCTTTATTTTTCACAGTTGTATAGGTGATTATCATTCTTTCTAGGATTTTAATTGAGATTTCATGTCATCTATAGATCAATCTGGAGAGAACTGACATTTTAACAATATTAAACCTTCAACTCTGTCCTTAGTTTTTGACCACACTGCAATCAGACTTTTACTCTCTCACTTCCCAAAAATAATTTGTCAACATCGCATGTTATATTTCCTTCCTATACCATTAGTTCTTGTGGGGGTGGGTGGGGGCTCTCTACTGCTTTATTCTTTCTCATTTGTCTGTTGTCACAGATTTAGAATTATGTAAGATTTAACCGGATTTATTTCTTGGACCTCTTCTCTTCACTATCCATACTCAACCAGTGTTGTTTCTTTACAATCTTCTGTAAGATAATAATTTCCAAATTTATATCTTCTGTAAGATAATAATTTCCAAATTTATATCTCTAACCAGAACTTTTCCACAACTGTAGATTCATTTTTCCAAATACCTTCTTGAAATTCATGTATATGCCTAATAGGCTTCTTAAACTGTTCAGAATTGAGCTCCTGAGCTCCCATCCACAGTTTTCCCATTTAAATTGAAGTCACCTCCCTTATAACAGTTGCTCAGGCTAAAATACTGGGGACAACTGGAGTCAGTTCTCACACAAGTCATCCAGTCTGTCAGGAAATCCTGTTCGCTCTTTTTTTCTAAAATTTGCCGGAATATGATTTCTTCTAATAATTTATAATCCTACCACCTTGATCAAGCATCATCTTCTCTAGACTAAATTTTAACATTATTCTCATAATTGGTCTTTCTATTTTTTTCATAGCCCACTTTAAGGCAGCATAAGGGAGCCTTATAAAGATAGTTATTTTGCTAAAATTAGGCCATTTTGCTCTTATGCTTAAACTATCCAATTCCTTCCCACCTCACTAAAAGCTAAGATTCTTATAATCGTCTATATGTAGTTTCCCCTTGTTCTCACCCTACATCTTTGTTTACCATTGCTGTTTATTGTATTAGTTCTATTCCATTGAAACACTTCCTATCCTTCTTCTGTTTTACGTTTCAACATGCATCATCATGTAGTATATCTTATATATTTATTTTGTTTATTATCTACTTGAACTTAAGCCCATGAGGAAAGGGATTTTTATTTCTATCGTTCATTGCTGTATCACCATTATCTGGCATATAGAAAGCGATAAATATTTGTTGAGTGATGGAATAGAATGAAATCAAAGAATGCATGAACACTATTAACTGGTCACATTAAGTGTTTTTATTTGAGTGTTTATAACCATCATCATTTTCAATAAGTTTTTATATCAGAAAGTTGTAATGTTTACACATTTAAAACCACATGGTAAGAAGACATTTACTGAACATAGAAAAAGCAACTAAAAGTCTTTATGGAATATATATTTGAGTAGTTTATACTAGATTACAATGTGTTATTGTTGCATTTGAGAAAATAAGTGTCTGTCTTTGTCTGTCAGGTTCTGGAGCTGCAAAGCCCCCCAAAAGCAAGCATGGTGGTGAAAGACTGTGTAAGGGCTTGCCTGGATTCTACATACAAGTATATTTTTGACAATTGCCATGAACTCTACTCCCAGCTAATAGACCCGGTAAGAAAATATGTATGTCTTTTATAATCCCCACTTTTGTTTCTAATATCTGTTTCAATACATTTAGCATGAGAGTAAATAGAAAAGTATGTTCATTTAATTTCATATTAACTGCAAATTTGAAAATTTCCATATCTTTTCTTCACATCTGAATACGACTTTCGCATACATGAACTAATTCACTCCTTACAATAACTTTGTGTAGTAAAGGCACATAATCCTACCACCTTGATCAAGCATCATCTTCTCTAGACTAAATTTTAACATTATTCTCATAATTGGTCTTTCTATTTTTTTCATAGCCCACTTTAAAGCAGCATAAGGGAGCCTTATAAAGATAGTTATTTTGCTAAAATTAGGCCATTTTGCTCTTATGCTTAAACTATCCAATTCCTTCCCACCTCACTAAAAGCTAAGATTCTTATAATCGTCTATATGTAGTTTCCCCTTGTTCTCACCCTACATCTTTGTTTACCATTGCTGTTTATTGTATTAGTTCTATTCCATTGAAACACTTCCTATCCTTCTTCTGTTTTACGTTTCAACATGCATCATCATGTAGTATATCTTATATATTTATTTTGTTTATTATCTACTTGAACTTAAGCCCATGAGGAAAGGGACAGATCAGGACAATACAAATCAAACCGACAATGCGCATACCGACATACTACGGAAGAATGGCCATAGTAGAGAGACATTAAAAAAACAAAAAAAAAAAAAAAAAGATGTTTGGTCTGGAATGCAGTGAAAAGGGAATACTTCCTACATTGCTAATGGATGTAACTAGTACAACCATTTGGGAAACAACAGTGTGGAGATCCCTTAGAGGAACCTAAGAGTATGAACTTACCATTTAATCCAGAAAACTCACCTACTGGGTATCTACCGCAGAGGAAAGAAGTCCCATCACAAAAAATATACTTGACACATGCAGGTGTTATACCCAGCAGCAATTTTACAATTCCAAAAAATATGGAATCAGGGCCCTAAATGCCCATAAATCAATGAGTGAATAAAGAAACTATGATATCATATAGCTATATCTATATTCTCAACATAATGGATACTACTACTCAGTCGTTCAGAGGAAAAAACGACTGTTGGCGCGGGTACGCGGGGGCGGAAGAGGGGAGGGGAGACGGGGGGGAGAGAAAAAGAATGAACTAAGGGCATCCAGCAGGAACCTAGAGGAACTGAAGACTTATTATTCTAAGGAAGAGTGAGAGTGCAGGAAAGAAAGCCAGACAGGTATGTTCTCATCATAAGGGGAGCCTAAGTATGAGACGCAAGAGGCGAGTTAAGAGAGATGGCCTCACAACTGGATTGAGGGACGTGGGAAAGGTTGGAGGGTGGGAGAAAAGACTACAAATGCGAGTGGTATACGGCTTGGGTGATGGGGTGCACTGAAATACACCACTAAAGACTTTACTTACGTTAACCAAATACCACTTGTTCCCCAAAGAAGCTATGGAAATAAAAATTTAAAATAATAAAATAATAATAATAGCCCATTACTACTGGGCGGGGAGGTGAATTATTTAGGGGCTAAGTACGTTCTCTTAGAGCGCCGTTTTGAAAAGCCATCTAGGATATTTCAAATGATTAAGCCTTGTCTCCGCCTCAGTTGGCTGCAACTCCACGCCTCGCCTAAGAATTCAAGTTAAGGAAGCCTTTTTGTCTTGTGTTAAGCGATTTATCGTCTCACTGTATCTCATGGTGGTTTTTA